CACCAAATTTATTCTTATAATTCAACAAATAAATTTGAAAATGTTAAATGAGTGTAAACATTTTTTGAACCACTGAGTGGCCTCTGAGCTGCCGCGGGAGCCCAGAACATTTACAGTTTGGAATGTGAAGAGAGGCAAGACCACAAAAGTGTTTACAGTGTAATTACTTAAGTGTAATTACCTAAGTGTAGTTACAGGATGAGAGCTACGCTCGTGGTGTCCCGTCTTCCCATAGATAGTGTGGAGCTATCTCAGTGCAGCTAGTAACAGGGAGCCACCAATGCCACCCCTCCCCCCATTCCCACAAAAAGAGATGCTTCATTACATTCAACTTTTTTTATAGTAAGTGTGCAACCTTATATAAATAATTAGTCAAATTCACTTAGATTCATGAAGTCATCTGTAATTCCTTGTTCGATAATGACCACCTTCTTAACTATTAACACCTTACTTGTGGGAGATAACGGATAATTTACACAGGGTTATTTATATATTTTTCCTGTGAGATTTCGTAACATTGATTAAATAGTTATTTACAAAGTAGTCAAGATATTGCGACACAGTATAAACAAGTGTGCATGATTTTACAACAAAACATTTATGAATAGTTATCCAAAAACCTCACCGCCCTCCAATTATGAATTTCCTATAAAGTTTCAATTTTCTAACATTATTTTTATAATGTAGTTATTACAATTAATTTATAATATAATATTATGCAATATGCTTCAGTAAATGTCCTTTGAACTGCTGCTGGGACTTGAACACTGTAAAATGTGCACTCAAAATAACAGCTAAAAAGCTTTACTGAGAATACCACATGCACCCCTAATTATGACTGTAAAAATTATTTGACTTCACTAATTCATATAAAGAGATAATAAAATAAAAAAAATAGTTTTTTTTTACTTAATTTAAAAACTGGTATACGAATATAATAATGGTTTTGAATTTTATTGCATATTAATATGGAAAATGCATTCAATACTGTACTTTGGTGTCTTAATTTACTATTTATTAATTTCTTATGAATAAAAACAGTTTAAGTATGCAAATATGGTCTTAAAAATCTTACAGCTCTTGAGATGGATTTTGCTTTAAAGTTCAAAGCATTTGAGTCATAATTTGTTTTATATATTACTTAAATACTGTATATCTTGCTTCTAAGATTTTATTTTAATGAATAAAGCTGTCTAACAATTTCTTCATGTAATTTGAAATATTCATCTTTATTAGTAAACAACAGCTAAATATTATATAAGCCCCAAACCTGTGCTTTAGTTAAAAAATAAAACATTGCTTTTTATGTTTATTTTTTTGCCAACCCTAAATGAGATATTTTTAGTGATAACACAGATTAATTTTCAAATACTTACTTGTGACAAGAGTATATAACTAGATGCAGGAACGACAAAAACTTTTATAATTTATAAACATGAGTACTGTTTATGCTTCTATTGACAACAAAATTACCCTATAAAAATAATATTTTACTCAATCACCATTAACCTGCATTGAATATCAAGATTTTCATATAAAAAATCCAGCATTAAATCTCATGAAATGGCATCTTTCTGGTGGGTCCCTTTAGTGGTACCCTAAGGTACTTGCCTGGTTATCTCCAAGCCTAAAATATCCCACCAAACCCTTTGAGTCACAAGCACCTACTGGGTACCAGGATGGGAATGTAGCCCCTCCATAGAAATAAGGAAGTCTGGAGATATTAGACCAACCCAGGTCAAAAAGAAAAAACACCAGAAGGGTAGAGTACCTCATAACAAAAAACTTCATGAAAACATTGGTAACCCTGACACAAACTATGTACATACTTTTTGTCCAAACCACACTTGTAGTAAGATAAACTCCCCAACCACCAGATGCAAGCTCAGACCACTTGGGACTCCATGTCAGGACTCCATATCTTGGCACTCAATATCCAGAGTCACCCAAAAGTGACTATGGATACTCCTGGAAAGGAAGGAAGGCCCAAAACTGGGAGCCACCATTGAGAGCCACCAGAAAGATGGATTTCATTACACTTAATTTTAGATTTCTGGAAGGGATCCCTTCGGTGGCTGGGCTGCCCCTTCTTGCCCATCCTTTCCAGGGGTACTGGGTATTGAGCTGCTGACAAACAGTCTCCCCTCCTAAAACAAATGAGAACATTGCTGTGAAATGAAGGAAGCTGAAGCCAAAGGCAGAGCTATGTGCCTAGAAACTGGTACTATAGAACCCAAGCAGAAGTCAGCAAGGTATAAGCTCTTGAAGAACTTTGTCCCACAACTTGGATAAAACCTATCTGAAAAAATACCCAGCTCAAAGACTGAAAAACTGAAGTTGCTTATGACAGAACCACAGAAATATTGTCATCTGGAAATAAGAGGGAAGAATAGCGCAAAACAGAAATGCAGAAAAGTTACCAAGCTGGCTTTGGAACATGGGCTAGAACAGCCTGCTGGCAGGAGGGAAAAATTAAGCAAATGGAGGCATGTGCTGTGACTGGAGCAAGAGCTGACAACAAACCTCCTGCATGCATGTCCCTGACTCAACAGGCAGCATGGCGGAGGCAGAATGAATGATCATCATTCTGTAGCATGGACAACAAACAACCCTAAAATTTGTAGGAGGAAAGAACGAAGTTGGAGAAAATATCCATAGGCCAACTGAACCCATAGGATATTTCTAGGGCCTTAAGGGTTAACCAAACAGCACATCCAGGTACTGGGGATGCTATGTCAGACCTAAAAATAAGCCAACAAAGCCTGGGGCTACAAGGATGCAAAGGCCAACCTCAGCACACTGTATATACAAGCTCACGTGCCAACAGTGCACCCCACCACCAGCCAATGCTTGTTCCTAACCTGAATCAATACAAAGCGGGAACGAGATCCCTGACTCATCAGAGGTGAAGGCCACCTGAAACAGAAGGACCTCTAAAGGAGGGAACTCCCGAACATACTGGAGAAGAGAACTTTGTCATTGCAGCGGCAGCACTAGAGAGCACTCAGGGAAGGGAATCCTGAGCTCACGCAGCTCTAAGCACACTAAAAGCCAGGCCCACGCTACACACAGTGCACAAAACAAACAAAACACTCAGGACAAAGTCCAGTGAAGCACTTAGCTAAAAATCACTGGAGCCCACCACAGCTTATTGATGATCCTGGGGCCCTATTGCAGAAACCTGAATGGTGTAGTATCAGTGGAAAAACTGAGAGCTTGAGCCAGTGGAGAGCTTAGCTCCCCAAAAGAGTGGGAGGAATGGGGCTAACAAGCGTAATTTTTTTTTTTTTTAATTATCGTTTGTTTACATTGTTGAGGAAGCTCATTCAGAGGATGTGAGGCTTCAGTCTTTTTTATCCCAGCAATAGTCTGTATTGGTTTGCTGACTTTCTGGGTGCCTTTCCTGGTGAGGTGGCAGAGTATCACCTGCTTTTGCACCTCTGTGAGGGGTCAGGTTTTGGCTGTGGTCTCCGGTATGCCTAACTCAAATCCATGGCTGATGCGATCCATTAGTCAGGGACCATCTTAGTGAGATAGCTTCGAGCAGTTACAAGGGGTTCCTCCCAGAACCACACGTGTGAAAAAGAGAAAAGGGACAAAGTCATGACAGGCCCCAGCAGGACTAAGTCCAAAAGGAAAGCCAACATTTAGCTAAGGATGAAGCTAGGAAGAATGGATAGTGCACTTGGAACTGTTAACTAGACCACACTCAGCTCATAGCTAATGAAGGTAGCCTGCAGGTGGCCTCAAGTTGCCAGGGATGTCATCTCATGGTGGATGAAGAGTGTGTGCATAGTTTGTGTCAGTATTACCAAATATTTTCATGCAGTTGCTGGTTTTAGGGTGCTCTACACTTCTGGTGTTTTTTTCTTTTGACCAGAGTTGATCTAGTGTCCACAGATACCCTTGCCTCTATAGAGGGGGTACCAGATACACCAGACCAGATTGGAGACCAGGACCAGTCCTGGTCTAGAATAGGTGTTGGTGTATCAAATGGCCTGGATGGGTGTTTTAGGCTTGGAGCTAATCAGATGGGTTGCTTGGGGTGCCAACAAAGTGAGCCCTCCCAGAAAAAATTATATGATAAAAGGCTTTGAACAAATTACTGTGCATAGAACTGTATAATATGTTAAAAAATGAGCAAATCATATGTTAGAAACTCACATATTTTACCATTTTGCATTGCTAAAATATTTTCAACCTACCTCTCACAGTAGAATCAATAGGTGCTTTTTATAACAAGTAACATTATTGAATCAATGCAAATTTATACAAAAAATGGCCTGAATATTTTAGCATTAGATGTACTGTAGTAAAGAAAATACTGTCCAGTCATCTACAAAATACAACTAAAGGTGTCTTGTTCTCATCTTAAAATTTTCATTTACTGCAAATGAGATTTTGCAATACAGAGGTTCATAATATAACAAACTTAATTTATGATTATATAGACCTACCTAATTTTGTTTTCCTCTCTACCACTACAGTATATATATATATATATATATATATATATATATATATATATATATATATATATATATATATATATATATATATATATATATATATATATATATATATATATATATATATATATATATATATATATATATATATATATATATATATATATATATATATATATATATATATATATATATATATATATATATATATATATATATATATATATATATAATATTTGCTTAAATCATCCTATTCATTACTATCTAATTTTTAAGGTTAAGCTCTTAACTTCTCAGATTGAAATAATTCTCAATATTTTCCTACAGTCAGCATTTAGCATTTCACAAAGAAACAATTATCTAACATTTGTTTAGCATTATATTAGTGACAATGACTTGATAATTTCTATAAATCATGGAATGCCAAAGAATATGATTATTAGTAATAAGAAAGTATTAATATATAAGTATTAATATAGAAAAATGTTTGCATTTTCTTTATTAAGTAATATGATAGTAGAAAATACTTACATTGACTTCTGAATAGACGATATCAATGAAGCTGCCAAGGACAATGACGAAATCAAACACATTCCAGGCATCGCCAAAGTAATACTGTAAACAGTAGAAAAAGTGAAAAACACATTAGCTATAAAAACTTTTTCTAAACTACCTGATTACCTATAATGCAGACAGCAACAGATGTATGGATAACAATACAGCATTTTGATTAACCACTTAACTGCGCCAACCGAATTTTCTCGGTTGGCGGGAAACTGCGCCAACCGAGAAAACTCGTTTTGATTTTTCGTAACCAATTCTAAATGTGTACGAGGTTGGTTGTGTACGAAATGGACTCTTAGGGCCTCCAGTGAGAAGCAGCCATCTTGGAAAAAAATCCCAGAATGCCCTAGGGCTACTGGCTGGGTTAGTACTGAATGAGCAACCATGGGTGGCGCACGTGCCTCTGGCTCCCAAACACCTATCCGACGAGGTGTTGAAAGATAATGCTCTGTCGGTGAAATTCAAACCTTATTGTTTGAAGAACATAAGGGTCATAATATTGGGGAAGCCAGGGGCAATAAGGACCTAACACAAAGGTCGGATGCAAGTGATACAGCACCTATGAGGATGATATAGCGAGCATATTCAGTTGTAGCTCTGAACATCACCCCTTGCAATCCTATGCTATTTATTTAGATGATACTTAGATAAATCGTTTTCTGCGTTCAGTGATGATGCATCTGATACAAATAGCATAGATGAACAGTGTTAGTGGCTTCCATGGTGGTGTTTTCCATAGATATTTTCAAGAATACCTGAATCTCTTCCCAACTGACAGACACTCTTGAGGCTAGCTGAATCTCGTCCGGACTGATGGACACTCTTGAAGTAAGCTGAATCTCTTCCTGTGTGGGACCTTACAAAGCGATCTTTTCAAGACTACCTTACAAATTGATCTTTTCCTATAATCTTTTCAATACTACCTTATGCTTTACAAGCTTGGTTACATGCAACCTACAAGCTCTAAAGCCAAGGGTGTATGTGAGTGCGTTATTTGCAAGCACACAAAATGAAGAAACAGGAAGCGAAAATTGATCTGTACCTGGTGCACTGAGAGCAAAGTCGCACTGTGTACCATGGGCTACTTCGTTGATTATTACTCACTTCCAAAGTACTGAGTGTGTAATACAGTGTGTTACTGTGTAAAGAGTGTGTGAAACTGTAAGTATTGTAATTTTTGGGAATTTTTAACAGGTAATATTGCGACAATAAACATTTATTGTGGACACATTACTGACACATTTATCACAGTTCCATGGAACATTATGAACGTTCTACTGTATACATATTGTAAAGGACACAAATATGCATCATATACGATAAAAAAACAAATAAAACTGCATTGGAAATACATAAAACAAATAATTGAAAATATATTTGTGGTAACACCCGGTGCTTGAATGGCCCGCGCGACCGTGTCTGGGCGAGTCACGTACGGGCGACCAGGCCCTGATGACGTCACAGCGCATCTTGTCCACGTCCCTACAGCCAAAGTAAGTGAAATTTGGTACTTATTTTTACTTAGACATGTTCAGGGAAGGGAATTTATCATTTTACGAAGAAAAAATAATTTTTGGGGAACACTTCATTTCATGCGCACAGGGGGAATTTCTCAATAAATTCTGCGCAGCACGGTGGTTAAGAGACACCAGAGTAACAATAATTTAGGACTTTAAGTGTCTACAGATAAGCTAAGTACAGACCAAATCCAACTATACAACTTAGCCGGATATAAAGCCATTCACAGCTGCAGGCCTGACAAAAATGGAGGTTGTACAGCTATCTATTATCAAGATAACTTCAATTGCACAAGTGTTACTAGCAATAGAGACGACTGCTCTGAATATACCTTTGCTCAATTCTCGGACAAATCCCTTAAATTGTCAATAGCAATTGGAGCTATTTATAGATTTTCCAATACTAATACAACTACATTCTCTGATAATATAAGGAACCTACTCATAAGCAACAAACTCAACAAAAATCACATCATCCTAGGAGGCAACTTTAACATTGACCTCTGTCAACAAAATAGGCCCCAAGTCGAATACTTTCAAATTGCATGAACTCATGTATGCTAATTCCCCACAGTCACCAAGTCCACACGAATTACTCATATATCTGCAACAACCCTGGACCACATATGGACTAATATAACAGCCCCCCCTTGTCTCTGGTATAATCAATGACAGAACAACCAATCACTATCCTTCCTTCCTCTCAGCAAACATGGACACAACACCCACAGTTACCAATAAACTTACCTTCAGACAATACAGCAAACCAGCAATAGGAAACCTCATAAATGCATTTCACAATATAAACTGAGAATCTGAACCCAACAATACACAGGATATAAATTCATTAGCCGACATCTTTCTCTCCAAAACTATATGCCTCTACAACACACACTGTCCTCTTCTAACTAAGCAGGTAGCTGCCAAAAGATTAAACAACCCCTGGCTCACAAGTGGCATGCTTAATCCATAATCTGCTATGGGCCTAATGACCTTCAACACTGCCAGGCACAAAAAAAGAAAAAAAAAAAATTTAATTTTTTTTTATAAAAGTGTTCAAACATGTTCCGTGTTCCCTGTCATGGGAACAATAATAAAAAATCGTAGGTGACATATTTTGGCTGCAATAGGGCGGGGTAGTCTGGCAAAATGGAGGCATTGACAGACTAGGCGTCCTGTGGCAGTCAAACAACCCCTGGCTCACAAGTGGCATGCTTAATCCATAATCTGCTATGGGCCTAATGACCTTCAACACTGCCAGGCACAAAAAAAGAAAAAAGAAAATTAAATTTTTTTTATAAAAGTGTTCAAACATGTTCCGTGTTCCCTGTCATGGGAACAATAATAAAAAATCGTAGGTGACATATTTTGGCTGCAATAGGGCGGGGTAGTCTGGCAAAATGGAGGCATTGACAGACTAGGCGTCCTGTGGCAGTCTAATCCACCCTTGCCAACAGGCGGGAGTTGCCACAAAGATATTATTACCTAATTATTTCAATGTATCTTGATTGAATTTTTCTCCGTGTTTTTGCTGTAATATTATTCAATAGTAAGTAGTGTGATATATTAATATAATAAAATGTGTGAACCAACTGTACAATTAAGCTGGGAGGGTGAGTCAAGGTAATAATTGAGGTCGCCACACAGTCAGCTGACATTCCCTCCCTCACTCGCCAACATTCCTCCTCCCACTATACTGTTTGTGCTGTTTTCACATTATATACACACACACTATATATATAAGTATCCACATGTTTTATTCACCATAACTATACAACTAAGCTGGTATGGTGTCCAAAGAACATAGTGGCCACGAAAACCAGCATTGAATGTAATGAAACGCCATTTTCTGAGCGAGTCCCAGAGGCTCCCCAGAGCTATCAGGCTGAATGGATGTGTATAACTTTCTGGCATCAGTAAATGTACACGGAGTTCTTGCCTACCAGGGACCATGAGCCAGAACCTGGCCCCCTCAAGACAGGCATGAGGAGCAATGATCCAGGGACACTGGCAAGGCAGCGGGCATCCAGGGACATTGACAAGGTAGCGAGCGGCCAGGACCCTGTTCGACCTTCACAAGCCTCGTGTCCGAATACCAACCTAAGACATGTTGCTAAAGATGGCAGCCAAAGAAGCAAACTTACTCACGACGTAGGCACGAGGATAGACCGCAGGCTGGCTAGTCTTAACAATCCTGTGGACAACCTGGAAGACCCAAGCTCAGGAACAGGGAAGAAGGGAAACTAGATCAACCCACAGCACATCCCTGGCCACCAAAGCCGTGGCATGCAAATACCAGCGGAGAGCCGCAACCGGACACAAGACATGATGTGTCCACTCATGGGGGGCCTAGCAAGGGGTACCACCAACCACATAAAAACTGAGAATAGGTATAATGATAGATATATAAACCCCAACAAAGAAGGGGCAACCACCAAGGCTGACCCCTCATCAGGCAGAAAACAAAAACAAAAGCAAAACCCGGCAAGAGGACAACGTACCCAGGTGGAACAGAGCTGGCTGCTGTAAGAGGTGAAAACTAGCTATGCAGCACCCCGCGCGCCCCTATCAGTGGCGAAAACTACCCTGTATTCAGAGGCAAACATGGGCAACAATAACCCCAGTTGGCTCCAAGGGCGGCCAAATTCCGAGCAGTAAAAGACATGGCGGGGGTAGATCCTGAGGTGACTTGTGGAAGGTGGCCAAAAGCCCCAAGGGTAGTACTTTCAGGGCACCTAGGGAAGGTGGCCCTAGGCGCATTCAGCCCCAGTACCGGAGAATATTACTCCTGGCTCGCACACGACCAATAGAGACAGTCCCAGCCACAAGGCACAGAATCTGAGACAAATCGCTGGTACCAGAGGCACAAGACCATGTTAGTAGCACATCAACCTGAGAACTGAATAATGACTGCCAATCCACAAGAAGTTGACATAATAGCACTAGAGATCTGCCATGAGGATGATAAACTGATGATCATAAATGCATACAGTCCACCGATAAGCAGCACATGGTCAAAGGAGGAGCTAGATAGTAAAAGAGAAGGTCTTATAACAATAATGAGAGAGATCATAGCGAGAGCGGATAACGATAGTTCACGATTGTTAATAGTCAGCGATTTCAACTTGAAAGCCATAGACTGGGAAGCATATGAAGCTAAAACAGAAGATTTCTGGACCTATAAATTTGTAGACCTCATCCTGGAAACATTCTTGTATCAACATGTTAAACAAGCTACGAGGATGAGGGAAGGAGACGTTCCCTCCATGCTAGATTTGATATTTACCAGGAAGGAGGAAGAAATATTTGACATTCAGTACCTTCCTCCCTTGGGTAAAAGTGACCATGTCTTTTTGGGAATAAAGTATGCAATGCGTTATAATCTGGAAGAAAATATGAATGTTGATGCAATTGAAAAACCTGACTTTAGGAGAGGACATTATGGCAACCTTAGACATTTTTTTAGTGGGTCAACTTCTTGTGGATTGGCATCAGTAATGTGTCCCCAATAAATGTTTATTGTCGCAATATTAC